AGACAAAATTAGTACAACAGCTAATTATGAAATGTCAAACCATAGGAAACAGAGGGACATTTTCCATGGTTGTTTTTGGAGGTGGTAGAGGTCTAACATAGTACAAAAAGGTTAGAGTCACTGTAGAAATAGCAATATTTCACCCACCCATTCATGCATGCTGTCTGAACTGGACACAAGTATTCACAGAGGATTTGGAAACATCACAGGCCAGTGAACCCAAGGGACCTATCAAAGCTGGTCCACCCCTTTTCTGAAAATACATATATGCCTCTAGAGGGAGGCCTACAGAAGGAAACATTAAAACAGTAATAAAAGTATAAAAATACTATATCCCAATAAGGATAACAAATAGATAAAAGTATGTGCTTCCAAGTCACACTAAAGGTTGTGTTGGTTTGTGGTGTTTGTTTGCTTTTTGTTTGTTTGTTTTTGTTTGTTTATTTTTAAAAAAGTATCTGCTTGCTGAAAATAACAAAAGGGAAGTGACTATGCAGAAACTACTATACAAAGCTTCTCAAAATGCAAAATGCCATGTGTACTTCACACTTGCCTATGCTTCAAAAACTTAATTTACAGTTTTAGAAGCCCTGCTCCTTGCTCACAATGAGGATGGCCAGTCCAAGCAATAAGTCTTGTTTCCATGCAATGCAAAAAGATTAAGCTATTCCTTTTATTTAACATATAAGGCAGTAATATCAAGAAGTTATAACACTAGACCTACATTGTCAGATACGGAACAAATGTACAATTACACAATTCCTTTTAAAAAATATTAGAATACAGGAAGACAAGAAATATCTAAGTGTTAGATAAGTATACAATGAAACAGCTCATCCTCTGGACACTTGGCATTACTCCTCTGCTGAATATAGTAGCTCTAGAGCCCATATTCCCACTATCGGATAAAATGTTTCTTCAGTGTTTTTCCTCTTTGATGATGAGGACATTCTGCTGCTTAACCTCAGAAAATTGGGGTTGAGGAGTTAAATACCACAAACAACATTTCATTTGGAAAAAAACTTAATGAAAAACATGCAGAATTCAGCCCAGCTGTCAAGAAATACCTAGATTTTTGTCTTGCCCATACTGTCTTTCTCTCTCTCTTTGTTGTTCATACTGTTTCTTTCTCCCATGCTTATCTCCATGTAGGAAATCCTGAGGTCATCAGCATGTGACCCATGGAACTTGTGTTCTTACAAGTTCTTACAAGAAGGTCTCCGCATTACTGACATGTCCTTTTATGGAGCTGCTCTGCAACTTTACAAAACCTCAGAAAAGCCTGGCTAACCCAACATCCCCTGTAGAGAACTTCTCTGGTAGAATATGTTCCAAAGCCAAATGAGAGGGTGGTTTTGTACCCTTTTTTTTCTTTTTTTGATTTTTAATTATATAGCATTGTCATTTAGCGATAAGAAGGATACTGCTGTAGTTCCCTCGAGAGGCATTTTCACCCAAGCAATTACTGATTATGCAAATATAACTACTGTAGCTAGGTGTTAGATGCCACTTTTTCCATCCACTTGTTTTCCAGTATGGCAGATCTGTTGAAGAACGCCCTGCCTCCTTTCAATTCATTTTTTTAAATGATTATTCTAACAAAACCAAGTATCAAATATTTCTGTTCACCTTTCCAAAATTACTAGAATTAAGATACAAAGCAAGAGGTGGTTGTTATTCTGACCTAGTCTGACTTGATCCAAGATCTGACTCTTGGGAAGAATTTCAAGGGTAAAAAAACCCACAAACATAAGCAAGAAGAATAGTCTTAAACCCTGTCCTGCAAAACAGGAAACCAAGAATACTTTACCATGGCCTGGCTGCTAAGCAGATGCCAAGCACCAGCACTAGAGAGACTAAAAAGCACAAAAAGAAATTCTCTGTGTAGCACTGATGCAACTTCCTAGCCACAACTACAATGCATTATCTGTAATTTACTCTTCGCCTGCAACCGAGAGGCAGTCAAATGTACACAATTACAGTTATGATACACTGCTGCTATCACATAAGGCAGCAATATAAATACGAGTAAAAGGCACAAAATAAATCAGCCAGGCCTCCACCCATATTGGGCCCTAAATCACCTACTACCTTTCAGCTTTCAAAATAACTAGCACATAGCTTCAGGCTCTTTCAGGCAAATCTTCTCTTCCCAGTTTTCTGTGAAATCCTGAGTCTGGCCAGCCCAGCTGGAGCATATTTCTGCCCTGTTTTCTCCCCACTCAGGGTCACTGCTCTGTCCATAGGGTGAGTGACACCTTTCATTCAGTCACACCTCTAATACAGCCTTCACGCTATTTGAAGATTAGACTGACAATTTGAGCAAGAACTCCACAGGCATTATAAGGAAGACGTTCTTCACCCTGAGGGTGGTGAGACATGGGAACAGGTTGCCTAAGGAAGTTGTGGATGCTCCATCTCTGGCAGCATTCAAGAACAGGTTGGATGGAGCCTTGAGTAACCTGGCCTAGTGGGAGGTGTCCCTGCCATGGCAGGGGAATTGGAATTAAATGATCTTTGAGGTTCCTTCCAACCCAAACCATTCTATGATTCTGTGATATGGTGATCACAGACAAGCAACCAGAGCCCCAGGACAGGACACAAGAGGCCACTTAGCCAAGGGACCAGCTGCTTTACCTACTGTTTCAAGGATCAGATGGAGTCCATGACTACAGAGCCAAGGGCTTTTTTTGCCTTTGAAGATCTATGTCCATCACCAGTCCATCTCTCTGCTTTAAACACTTGTTGCTCCACCAACCCTTCATCACAGTCCAGGCTTTGGGAACCTCATCCTTCCTGCTGTTCCTGCTCTGAATCTCAGAGGCAGGTCCACATCTTCCTTTAAACTTATTACCCCAATCCAGATGCAGCACTGCAGCTGATGCCTTATCATCACATTGTAAAGATTCACAGTCCTGTTTATTCATCCTAATGTAACATTTGCCTTTTTCACAGCAACAGGGTATCATTGATACATATCCAGCAAATTATTCACTATCCTGTCACCCAGGTCCTGCTGGGGACAGACTGACACTTAGCTACTTATTCCCATTCTGTAATTGAACATTTCAGCCTTCCTGCCTGCAGCTTTACCTTTCGCACTTGTCCACACTGAATCATATTCTACAAAATAAAAACAAACCAACCAACCCACTCACCACACACAATCCCAATATACCACTTCACTTGCCAGACTTCTTCTCCAATTCAAGTTTTATGTCACCTGAGAACCCCACAAGCTTCTATTTCAGCAACAATATCATTAGTGAAAATACTGAAATGCAAGACAGAACATCCCATTCAGGACAGTCTTTCAATCTGAAAACAAGCCACCGATGCTTACTGAACACTAGCAGCTTCCCATGTGTTCTGCAAGCGGATTTACAAGCGGTTTATATAGGTCACTTCTAATGCTAAATAATCTGAAAACGTCTC